CCTGCAGATTTATTTTGAAAATAACCAGCAAATTTTATTAAACAACTCATTTTTAAAAACTACTGTTGAGTTCAAACTGTTGTAGTCGGTCTCTCCCTTTAAGAAACAAAACTGATTTTTTTCAGATAGACACAATTTTTTCTTTTTGGTACCAGGTATTGAACTCAGGGGGGTACTCGACCACTGAGCCACATTCCCAGCCCTATTTTTTATTTTATTTAGAGACAGGGTTTCACTGACTTGTTTAGTGCCTCACAGTTACTGAGGCTGGCTTTGAACTTGCAATTCTCCTGTCTCAGCCTCCCAAGCTGCTGGGGTTACAGGTGTGTGCCACCACACCCCGCAGATAGATACAATTTTAAATTATATTGAGATTAAGAGTTTATGTGGGGCTGGGGTTGTGGCTCAGTGGTAGAGCACTCACCTAGCATGTGCGAGACCCTGGGTTCAATCCTCAGCACCACATAAAAAATAAATAAAAAATTAAAGGTATTGACAACTACAACTAAAAAAAAAAAAAAGAAGAGTTTATGTGGATGAAGAGAAGATATTGTTTAGCACCTGATTTGTTCCATTCACAAATTAGATTTTTTAAAATTCACATAACCTGAAATTGACCATTTTGTTTATTTATTTATATATTTTTGTTGGTGCATTATGATTATACATAAAATACTGGGATTCCTTATGCCATATTTGTACATGTGTTAACATAATTTGATCAATCTCATACCCTAGTACTTTCCCTTTCCTTTCTCTCTTCCCTTTCTTTGATTTGCTTGCTCTACTCTACTGATCTCCCTTCTATGATTACTATTATTATTTTAATTATTGCATTGTAATTGTATGTGGGATTTATTGTGGTATATTCATATGTGGACATAGCATTTTTTTTTTCATTACTTGGGATTGAACCCAGGGGTGTTCTGAGTTACATCCCCAGCCCTTTTTATTTTTTTGATATAGGCTGTCATTCACTTGCTGAGGCTGGCCTCAAAACTTGGAAGCCTCCTGCCTCAGCTTCCCAAATAATAGGGATATAGGCATGCACCACTGTACCTGGCAAAAGTGTCTATTTTAAAATATAATTTTAATTATAAATTATAAATTATAATAATTTATAAGTTTAATATATTCACAGTGGTGTGTATCACTACCTTTGTCTAGTTTCAAACCATTTTTATAATTTTTATCATCTCAAAAGGAAAATCCTGTATCATTTGGTAGTTTTTCTCTCTCTTCCCATAACCCCTGGAAATATGGGAACACATATTGTGTTCCAGATCTGTGTTCTATCAGTGGATTTACCATTTTTTATATTTCAGCTAATGGAATATTCTACAATATGTGACTTTTTGTATTTGATTTCTTCCACTGGTCATGTTTTTGAGGTTCATCTACATTGTAACATATATTACTACTTCTTTCCTTTTTATGGCTAAATAATATTTCCTTGTATGTATATACATAGATCAGTTTGTTTATCTATTCATTCATTGAGGAACATTTGTGTTGTTTTTCCTTCTGACTATTGGGAATAGTGTTGCTGTGAATATTGGTGTACAGTTATCTATTATTCTTTCATTTCTTTTGGTTACATGCCCAGGAATGGAACTGTTACATCATATGGTAATTCTATATTTAACTTTCGTGTGGTACTAGGGATCAAACCCAGGACCTCACATGTGCTAGGCAAGTACC